TCAGTTTGACAATAACAAAATCCATCTTCCAAACCGCAACTTAATTTCTATAGCTGTCAAATACATGCAAGTTTCTGCCATTAACAAAAGCTGAAGCAGGATTGGAAGCAACAATGGTGCTTCAGGAGCAGGCAATTCCAGGGGAAAAACTGATGTTCAAGTACGTGTGTTTTTTAAATTTTAGGACATTTATGAAAGTCAAAAGGTGAATGGTTGATTTCCTGTACCTGTCATTAAGCTGTTCCTTACAACAAATTTCTGGAAGTGACTGACAGCAGAAATAATTCTGCAAATATCTTATTTGTGCAATATGAAGAAATATATTTCAGACTCAAACTGAGACTTGTTTTAAGATAATTAAAAATACTCACAGAGGGAGACAAGATGGCTCAGTGGGTAAAGGTGCCTGGTGCCAGTCTGGCAACCTGAGTTTGATCCTCAGGGCCTGCATGGTGGAAGGAGAGAACTGGTTCCCAGAAGTTATTCTCTGCCCTCTGCACACATGCATTTACACATGCACACACACACACACACACACACACACACACACACACACAAATGAATAAGATATAAAAATATAGGAATATTCGTAGCATATGAACCAAGTGACCAAATACACAGCACCAAACCTTACCTAACAGTCAAAGATATGACGCAACAGGATGAAGTTAAGGTAATAATGTAAGGTCTGTTCATAACTGATGAGTGTTTCTGTTTGTATATGTGTGAGAATACTCTTTGATACTAACGATGTTATATTGACTTCATCTTGATCTCAGAATGTAATGCCCATCCTCTTTAAATGACCTTTATTTTCATAGAATTACATTCTATAATAGATTTCCTCTTCTTCCTCTAATATGGATAACAGTAACCTTTAAGTTTTTGGATTAAAATCTTCTTAAACTGGAGCAATGGCATAGTTACTTGAAAATTTTTATGAGATACTAGTCAAAGCCTCAAAGGCTGACTTGTCATGGCTGACAAACACTCTCATATCTTCTTGATAACAGCTTCATTTTAAACCCCTGGATCAGAGCCAGGAGGGCATTCAGGCCTTCAGCAAAGTGGGGACTGGAGATGGAGAACAGCTCTGCTCCTTGGCCATTCTCCTTCCTGTGAAGCCCATGTGAATCTGGCTACATCTCCCAGGTGAAAAGGAGAATGGTGTCTCCACTGTAAGATTCAGATTCTAGATCTGAAAAACATTAGCAGAGTGTCTGGAACAGAGTGGATGCCTAGAAAACCTCAGAAATTTTTGTTGCTGCTTCTGTTTTGTGGACAATTTTTGTTGTTGTTATTTGTTTGATATCAGGTCTCATCTAGCCCAGTTTGTAACTAAGGTTGTCACTGAGCTCTTGACTGTCTTCCTCTGCCTCCCAAGAACTGGGATTGCAGTGTGAACCACCATATCCAGCTTTCAGAGACCCATTTTCTGAAAGTATTTCCTGGTTCTCTGCAAGGCCAGTGTGATGATACTGACTGTAGGACGGTGTCTTTAGCAAGCGTGTCCTCCCCGTACACTTGATGTACTCATGGGTCTATCAATAGCTCAGTCTGCACAATCATCAGAATCTGTGGCTGCCCTGAATTGCTTCCTTTTGATGATCAACTGTGTTGATGACCAGGAATTCCAAAGACAGAGAGAGAAAGAGAGAGACAGAGACAGAGACAGAGAGACAGACAGAGACACACACACACACACACACACACAGAGAGAGAGAGAGAGAGAGAGAGAGAGAGAGAGAGAGAGAGAGAGCATTTACTTGGTTCACTGGTCAGAAAGACAAAGGAGATCTTTCTGACAGTTTGACAATAACCATTTGAAAACAAGCCAACAAAACTGAAAGCAGCAAAAACAGTTCAGTAACATGAGTTTCAGAGCTATTCCAGCTGAGATGACATGTTTGTTACATGAGCAAAATATGCTCCTGATAAGCTACTTTTGTAGAAGCTGGTATTAGGTATAAATATCTGGTTCAGGACAGCAGAAGTCTCAAATTTTACTTTAGAATATCACTCCCCTTTTCTCAGTGTGTGTGTGTGTGTGTGTGTGTGTGTGTGTGTGTGTGTGTGTGTGTGTGTGCGCACGCGTGTGTTTCTATTGCAACACATGTCTGGGTATCAAAGGACAACTTGCTGAAGTTGATTCTCTCTTTCATCATGGGTACCTTGGGATAGAACTCTAGCTGTCAGTCTTGGTGGCTAGTGCCTTTACTTACTGATCCATCTCACCAGCCCCTGAACACTATTTAAAGCTTTATATTTAATTGACTATGCAAATAAATTGTGGTATTATAAATTAATATGACTGATTTTTCTTATTCTTTGGGATTTTTCTTTTTTCTTTTTTTCACAGAAAGACTATAGTCTTGGGATGGACAAATGGTTTCTAGTACAAATTTCTGGAGTGTTGGAGATAAACCATATCTTATCAATGAGCTGTGATGAGCATCATGTCACAAAACTTAATAGTTTGTAACTTACTGAATTTTCAAATGTACTTTCAAAAAGTTATTTTTAAAAATCCAGCGTTCGTTGATACTTCTGTTACATGCCAAAATAGAGCTGTTAGCAATTCTGAAATGTTCTCAGAAATAATGAGACTTGGCTAAATGCACACAGTGCCTACAAGTTGATCTTTGAGGCGTCTACGATGCACAGCTGGGTCTTGTTAATGGTGCCAGTGGAATTTGTAGCACTATCTATTTTATGACAGCCCACACCTTCTTTTACCTTATAAGGTAAAGACCCAAACTCTAAACTGTCTATTATACATAGTCCTATATTTAGTAACAAAATGCGATTTTTTGCAAGCCAAAAAGAAATAGGAATCCAGTCTCCAGATGCTGTTTTTGAAAGGCAGCATCTAAACACTTGCTGGCCAATGTCACAATAATGTTAGAGAAGAGAATTTCAGCCTGTTTTCCTAACAGCATCACATAAAGCCAGATTTTCTTTTTCTTCTCCCCTTCCTCTTCCTCTTCCCCTGCCCCTTCCCCTTCCCACCCTTCCCCTTCCCCTTCCCCTTCCCCTCCCCTTTCCCCTCCCTTTCCCCTTTCCCTCACTTCTTCTTCTTCTTCTTCTTCTTCTTCTTCTTCTTCTTCTTCTTCTTCTTCTTCTTTCTCTTCTTCCCCTTTTTCCTCCTCCTCCTCCTCCTCTTCCTCTTCCTCCTCTCTCTCCTCATCCTTCTCATTCCCCTTTCCAGATTATTTTCAGTATGTCTTCCTCCCATAGGCATTGCAATCAAAGCAGTTTCTGCTTTGTCCAGAAAGCAAGGATGAGAACTTTGTTAATTAACTACCTAGTTAACAAACAATCCTCTTCTGCAACTCTTCTCTGTCTTACTCAGACTAATTGTAGATTTCCCTTAAATTTTTCCTATCTCACTTTGCTAAGACAGAATCCCCCAGGGACATGGCAGACACCAGGTTTTGGTCATAAGATACTTTACATTTTCTCTCTTGTCTTTTCTCTCTTCCTTCCCACATTCTGTCTCTTTCTTCCTTTGTTTCCTTTTTGCATATACCATGATCTGAGGGAATTCTTCTGTCCTATCAGGGCTATCCCTGAAGAGATGGTATTCCTATGGACTAACCAAAGCCTATGGCTACAAGCCAACGATGAACTGGCCCATGTTTGTGAACATGGACTTGGAAGTGGATCCTGGAGACAGAACAGGCTTCATATGATTAACTTGCTAGTCCACAGTTCAGTGAGAACCCCTGAGGCAGATCACTGAGGTTCAGGACTTCTGATTGTGACCTCAGAGACTATTGGATCTGACAAATATCCGATATTTTTAAGTGATTAAATTTTGTGTGAATTTTCATGCATAAATATCTAATACAGTTATTGAAATATTTATTAAAAGCCTATCAGAATTTAATTGGACTTATGTATATACACATAGTCAAATGCTCACAAAGAATGAGAAAACCATTTTTAAAACACTGGCTTCCTGGAAGCTGTGTGTCATCATGTGTGGTCTCCATATCTGATGTGAAAGGCAAACTCCTGTTCCATCGTAAGGGTTTGTGAACTATATTAGCATTATAAGCAGTAACGTACTTGAAAGAGTTGGAAACGTTGTTGCAGACCATTGTTTACAAAACTGAATTGCTTCAAACTTAGATTGAAAGAAAAGCCATTCCGTTTTGTAAAGTGGTTTGCTCTTTATATCATCATATATAAATATTTATAACATATGTACTCCCATGTATATGCATGTATAAATATAGACTCCTAAATATTTGATATTCCAATAGAAATTACACAATTAAAAGTAAATGTAAACTTAAGTCTGACTTACCATAAACAATGAAAAAATATCACACATTAATGATTTTTTTAACATTAGGAAGTCATGTTGCTTCAGTTTTAAACATCCACCTATTTACAGCTCAGTACTTATCTGATGAATTAAAAATGAAGACACTTTCTCCAACAGTGTCACAAGGATAAGTTAATTAGCAATGACACTGATTTGGGTGACAGGAAGAGGCATTAGATAAATGGCAGCAATATACCAATATACTGGAAAAGTTATAAAGTTCCCTCCAGGCTGCAGAGCGCCCATAGGCTGAATTACCTTATTTATGGCTCTCAGGTCTGTCAGCATTCTCCAGTTACCTGACTTCTTCTTGATGACAAATACAGGAGAATTCCAAGGGCTGGTAGATTGTTCTATGTGACCAGCCTCTAGCTGTTCCTGTACTAACTTTTCTAGAGCCTCAAGCTTTTCAGAGGTCAAAGGCCATTGCCCTATCCAGACTGGTTCGTCTGTAAGCCATTTTAATGGCAGGGCCTTTGGTTCCTCTGAAGGCCTGTCATTTGTATTTAGTGTCTGTACAGCCCGGATAGTTGGTAACCATTTTCCATGGCATCTTACCCAATCTTTTTTACTATCCAGCGATTGTCTAGAATTCGTGAATTCCTATCTGACACTGGAGGGATGTTAATTTGAATATTCCACTGCTGTAATAAATCACGACCCCAAGAAAAGAAACAATGTCTCCACTCCAAATAAATCATGGTCAAAATAAAAGCTCAAGATGACATCAGTCCCATTTGTCCGAAGCCCTGGTGTTGTATGGATGGCAAGCAGCAGTCAGCTATGGTGACAGGTGACAGTTCCCTTAAAATTTCTGAAAAGTTCCCCCCTGGCCAACTGGTTCTGTTATGCAAGAATGGATGCCCAATTTGCTTTGTGATTTTTGAGAGAATTTTCTTGATGACTTCAATTTCTTTTTTTCTCAGAATTTCCCTCTTGGAGGTATCAGGCGCTGAATCACAGATAGTAAGTGATGTTTGGTTTCTGGTTTGCAGAACACATCTCAGGTGCTCTATGCGATATTTATTTTCCTTGATGTTCACATTCTTAGTAAAATTATTATTGAATTGCACATACTTTCATAAGCATTCATGTATAAAGAGACATTTGAGAGTTTATTGAGCCTATAGGAATGAAACCATTCCTAATCCATTTTCCTGTCACAGGAGAGAGTATACACAGTAACCTGTTGAAAGTCATTTACTATATGAAAAAACCTACAAATTGCAAGAAGATTCTACTTACTTCTAAGTGTTTTGCACAACAGCATAATAAGGAGACCATAAAATAAAAGTAATATGACAAATAATTCAACACTGTGCAACAGGTAACTAAAGAAGCAGTTAAAGCAAGAAGGTTAAATGATTATCTTATCCAGTAAATATGTACAGGTGTGCTTTCCATTTCAGAGTAGTCACCCTGGACTTAGTAAGCAGCGGCTGTATGCACTCACTCTCAGACCATGTCTCCCCATAGTCTTGATTTACTTACAGGTGTAGTGGTCAAATAGAAAATATCCATATACATGGGAGGGTTAAAACAGTGAGGCAGACAGTAAGTTGTCCTTTGCTAAAACAGTGAGGCACACACCTCAGAAAATAGGTCTATTAAAGTGTTCTCAGCTTTTTCTCATAATTCTCTTGACATATTGTGTCAGACTGCTTCTCTGATGGCTTCTACTCCACTTAGTTATTACTAGTTTTAATGATGGAGCAGGATTTTGGTATTTTACTATTGGCAGGAGGATTTGGGTACATGCCAGATTTGAGGGTATTTTTCTCTAGGCAGAAACTGATAGTTCATTCTAAGATGCTGATAGAAAAAAAAAAAGAACCACCTTGAAGAGAATCCATCATGTGATGGCAATTTTTCTCACACTTGGCATCAAGAGCCTTCTTGTTCTCTTATATATAAAAGTTTTCCTTGAAGATTTTTCAGCCTTTGAATGTTTTATCTGTTTTGTTTTATTTGCTTTACCTGCAATGCAAATCATGTCCCATCTGAATTTAATGCCTTCCACTGGAGGCCACCAGAATTATGTCTGATAAAATGAGGATACAGAATCCTGGCATGCTACGTTTTAGGATAGAAAAGACCATCTGGTCTACAAGAACTTGTGACAATTCCTAGAAAGGGTTGTACCAACTTTTAGATGTCAATTCTCTTGTTATCTGAGAAGTCAAATTTGAATTCCCAACATGTACTATATAGATGTTGTGACACCAAAGAAAGAGAGTGACTTTTTCCAGACACAGAATACAACAGTAAGTTGCCCTTTGCTAATAAAAGTTGAATAAAACCAAGCACCTGAATGAAGAAAATACAGAATAGTATATAATTTTATAAGATGAGCGTTTACAGAAATAACTATTTGTGTAATATGTGGAACCTAGCAAGTAATTCCAGCTTTTTAGTAATAGCTAATCATGATTTTATCCCTAACTGACAATCATTTTGCTGGGTTATTGATCCTCCTCAAAACATGCTTAGAGTAAGTTCTTTGCCATGATTAACATTTAGCTTCTACGACTTCTGAGCAATTTAGTACCAGACTTCAAAAGGCTCCTTTGCACAGTTTGCTTTTGTTATTGGATGGTGTGGGTTATTTAAATGGCTGCCATTTGTCCTAAGTATATGACTTTTGGAAATTTGTGATGTTTCTTAGTAACTTCTATATAGTTTCATATTCTAAAAGCTGAAGACAAAAAAAGAAAATGGACTGTACAGAATTTCTCTCTTTAAAATGTAAGATGATTTGCTTATGACCACTTAAAGTGATTTTATTCCTGCTATTGTTGAATATGACTCTGGATATTAATACTTGTCTTTGGTTAGAAGCATTGGCTAGTGTAGCTCAAATTATGAAATAATTTTTATAGGTTTCTGCAGCATGAGATATTAATTCAGAAACTGTGTTTTATGCAGCTGTGCCTGGGAAGGTTCAGTTCTGTTTCTTATATATGAAATAAAACAGAGTTATGGCATAACTCAGCTTGATCCAAATGTAGCTATCTAGGTGGGTTACATCATCAGAGAAAAGTGAAGAAAAGTCCGTGAAGGGCATGGTAGGTATATACACAGGAGTGTCAAGGAGAGAGGGCGGGATGGGGGCATCACTCCAAACATTGCTTCTAAAGAGGAAGGCTGAAAAACCTTTACACATGAGAGGATGATGCCAGGACTGTAGATCAAAGATATGTGGAGACAGTTCAGAGCAACCAGGATACCTAAGACAGTTTCTTCTCTTTTCCAGAATTTCAGTGTCTGTCTCTGACTGAGTTTATCAGAGCAAATCTACACAAACTCCTGTGACTTATTTAAGATAACCCATTAATAATAACAGTAATAATAAAATAGTCTCAACATATTGAGTAACGGTGTCTACATCGCTTAACTGCTTAAACTTTCATTTCTTTTGTTTTATTGAGACAGGGACTTAATTTAGCCAAGACCAAGCGGCAACACACTCTGTATTATACACAGGCCTCGAATTCATAGACATGTTGCTACCTCAATCTCCTGAGTGCTGGATTATGGTAGTGAGTCCCCATGGAAAAATTAATGATTTGACGTTCTAGTTTATTAAAATTACAGAGACAGCTGACCTGAGCTCATAGGAGCTCATGGACACTAGATTGAAGCTAGGGAGCCTGCATGGGACTGACTTAGGACCTCTGCATGTGGGTGACAGTTGTGTAGCTTGGTCTGTTTGTGGGGACCTTGGCAGTGGGACCAGAATCTGTCCATGGTGCATGAATTGGCTTTTTGGGACCCATTCCCTATGGTAAGATGCCTTGCTCAACCTTGATGCAGGTGGCGGGGGCAGGGATGAGCTTGATCCTGCCTCAACTTGATATGCCAGGCTTTGTTGACTCCCCATGGGAAGCCTTATCCATTCTGAGGAATGGATGGAGAGGGGACCAGGTGGGGTGGGGTGGGGCGGGGTGGGGAAAGAACAGAGGAGAGAAGGGAGGGGCAAACTGTGGTTGACATGTAAAATGAATAGGAAATAAATAGAAATATAAAACCTGTGTAGATTTGGTATTTGCTCACATATCATTAAAGACCATCTCAATGGTCTTAGGGAGATAAAGGCTGCACCTGTGTCTTTAGCATAGGGAATGAAAGGCAGAGCCAAAACTTGAGACCACTGTCCATCTACCTCCATTCTTATGCTCTCAAGGGTTTTGGCCTGAGTTGGGATGACACAGAGTGACTTTGTCCACCCTCAGCTCCCTTGCCTGGCTTCTCTTGACAGACTTCTTGGAGAAGGACAATGATTATAGCTCAAACCAAAAATACTAAGTTTGCCTAAGCAGTTTTTCTTTCACTTCCATTTTTAAGACATAGCTCAACTTCAGTGTTTTAGTTGCACGAATTTTGAGTATAGTTTCGCTCTGTTTATGATTAAACCAATCAAATAATCCAGGAAGTAAAGGGAACTTTGGAAGGCAACCAGTAGCCATAAATCTGTCAAGACCGAGTAAAGGACACATCACACCAAAGAGACAAACCTTTATGTTTTGCCAAATGGTGAAGCATACAAATATCCCTTTAGTACCATCCATGTATATTTAAGAAATGGAGATGACATGGCCTATTTTGACAGCTCTTCAAATATCCTTTTTTGGAATCATTTTTTTTCTGTAACAATCCTATAATACTAACACAACCCATGCTCATTCCCCCACATACCTGTAGATATCACAGATAGTGTAGAGTTCAATATTTAGCTTGGGAAACATTTATTCTTGTGAGTAGGAATGAAATTGGTTCCCTGAATTTATAAATTAGAAAACTTGTCCAACTTCTCTGAGATTTGGTGTTGTCCTGTGTGTATTTGTTAAATCCATCAAGTTTTTGGGACGACTTAGTGAAGTAATGAATGAGGCTAATTGAGCGTTGAAGGTATTTCAAGATGCCCACTTTTATGATTGTGAAGATTAAGTGTGATAAAGTGGCTAAGCTATTTAGGCATAAACAAAGGCATGCAACACTCTTCCTCCGACATTTTTATCTTGTGTTAGTGCATTGGCCTTACAATTCTCCCGTGCAGCTCTGTGTTCTCCTGGAATGTACACTGCATTGCTGTTTGTCCTTGTTACAGATAATTGTTTATTAATGTCCTTGGGACTCACCCACGTGCATACTTTCTGACCCCTGAGTTGTAGATGCTCTGCTCAGCTCTGAACGTGGATATGCAGACACAGTGGTGATGTGTGACAAGACAATTTTCATAGAGATATTACTAATGGGGGTGAGCTGTAACAGAGACACAGGCACTTTCCAGGTGGAAATACAGAGAATCCCAGAAGAAAAGTGAAACAGTTTGATATGAAGCTCTGCTATAAAAATCCCTTAAGGCACACGAGCAACTCACTTTCAGTATTCAGTGTGACTTAAGTGGAAAGTAAAAGAGGGGCTTTTGTGTAATAAGTTTGAAAAGGTTGACATTGAGGATCAATGACCAGAGGTTACAATAGTCAAGTTAAGGGGATGGTGGCTTACCTCTTAGCGATGGGAAGCACATGACTAAAGACAGGAAGCGTGAACAGAGTCATCTATCAGAAAAATAATATAAACCCAGATGGAGTATGGACAGAAGAGCTTTTGAGGGGGAAGGGCTATGATGCACAGCGTGCCATCAGGCAAAGCTCACAGCCTATCAGTACTATGAGCTGGCTTTAACTTTACACTTGAAAGAGGATGGTTGGAAAATGCACAGGTGATTCACCAGAGTGTGAGCTGCAGAAAGCTAGAAGAGGATATCTTTTGTATTATTCAGAGAGGAAGCATGGGAAGTTTAGAATAACTATGAAGTTCTTCTAGTCTTGAAATTCTTTAATTTGTAGGCCAAGAACTTGAGACTAGATAAGTCATGGACCTCGAGTAAAACCAAATACTATTGTTGTGCTGTGGGAACATAGCAATAACATGACTTCCAATGGCATTATGCTGTTCTCATAGAGCACTGCCTTGCCCTGCAGTCAGCAAACAAAGCTTTCTTCTGCAACAGATGGGAACAAATACAGAGACCCACAACTGGACAGTGTGTAGAGAGTGAGAGACCTTGGCACTCCCAGTCCTAAATGGGATGTCTCCATCAAACCCCTCATCTCAGAGCTCAGGGAACCCTGCTGAAGATCCAGTGGGGATGGAAGATACCAAGGAAATGAAGCCTTCTAAATAGAGCAGAACTGACGCAGATATGAGCCCTCACAGACTGTGGCAACATGCACAGGGTCTTCAGGGTTCTAAGCCAGGTGGGGCCCTAGTGCTAAGAGGGGACGTGGACACACACCTCCATCCCTAGCCCAGAAACTACCTCCAATTAATAACTGCTAGCAAAGCAAAAAATAGTTTCATTTTTTCCCAATGGAGTCTCACTGGGTATACAAGTTACTCTTAAGGGCAAGCCTCATGTTGAGCAGTAGATGCTCAACACAAACAAAACTCAATGTCGTTTTGCATCCTCTTTGCTCCATAACACTATGTCAGAGCATTTTAATTTTTTAACCATACAGGTATTTTGAGTATTAAGTATGGTTTCCAGTTTTGTGTTTTTATGGGATTTCTGTGTATGTGAACATTCATGTCTCTGTCTGTATGTGTTTCTTGTTCTTTTTCTTTGCCTTTTTTATTGTTTGTTTTTTCCTATTCCAGTACGTTCATTTTCATTTCACCTTACTTTATTTCATTATTATTTTTAGATGCCTCTTTGTTTTCTAATAAGAGAAAGAAAGAAAAGGTGTAGATTTCATGTGTGCAGGGGTGTGTGTGGGTGTGTGTGGGTGTGGGTGGGGAGTGGGGGAGGAGCAAGGAGGATCTGGGAGGAGTTGGGGAGGGGAAATCATAATCAGAATATATTGTATGAAAAAAATCTATTTTCATTTAAAAATAGAAGAAAAGAAGTATCAGCAATACATTGAATAATATTTTCGAAAACAGACATGGAGAGTGATTCCCAAATACACTCCACAAAAAGAGACCTCTCACTGAAGCTGAGGGAGGGGAATCAGAAATGACAAAGAAAGGAAGGGATTTAAGAAGCTGCCCAGAGGTTTATCATGACAAGAAGCTCATTGGTTATTTTCTCAGCTCCTAGTAATCACTCTTGGTCACTCCTAGAAGAAAGATTTCCTAAAAAGAAAGAAGTAGCATGGGTGCTTTGTACTTTCCATGTTTAAAAAATACTTTTATTTATGTGTATGTATGCCTGCCTGCTTGCCTGCATCTGTACAGTGCCCATGGCCCATGGTCCATGGCCTATGGAGGCCAGAAGAGGACAATGGATGCTTTGGACATGGAGTTATGGGTAGTGGTGTGGTGCGGCTGTGTGGGTGCTGGGAACTGAAACCAGGCTCACTGCAGGAACAGCAAATGCTCCTGGACTTTGAGCGATCTCTACAGACTGACATTCTGTATTTTGAGGGAGATATCTATCTGGAAATGATTAGTGTTTCAAAGAAGTCGCAGCTGTTTAGATGAAGAATGATCTTCAGAAGTTCTTTCACTTGAATACTGTCAACATTTCATTTGTTAAATCGCTAGCATCTTCATGATGTTCACAAGATTCCTTGTTTGTGAGCACATTTCTCCCTCAAAAATCATTTAACTATTTTATACATGAAGAAAAGTTTTCTTCAACAGAAAAAATGAGACCAGAAGTGGAACAGGAAAACTGGAAGAGAACCATAGCTTAAACTTTAACAAAGGATTAGAGATTTTAATAACGTGAAGCCTTATGAGTGTGTACAAAGCATCAGAACAATTTTTACACTGAAACCCATCTTGCACATAACAAATCATCACCCAACATTCAGTCAAGTGAAAAAGTAAGTATAAGGCTTGCTGAGAACACCAATATAGTCACACGCAATGCCATGTTGAGGTAAGTAGTAGGTTGCAAATTTAGTATTACATTGAAATTTCACAAGTGTGACTAGAAAAGAAAACTAGAAGGCTCTGTTGACGCTGCAATTACAATCTGATGATGTCTGCACTCAGGCCTCACTAGGTGACTAAAGCCATGAACTCCATGCTCTGTGTTATTTTCTAGTTGTCAAATAAATCTCAAGCAACCTGGATGGAAAGTCTTTGCACTGACAAATAGATCATGTGCCCTTCTCAGATACCCCCAAGATGTTTCCACAGGATGTCTTTTCTTTGATTGCAATGTGCATTCAGGGAAAATGTTTGAGTCATTTATTGTAATAGTTGTAGTAGAGCTCATTATAAATAATGAATAATATAAGCAACCTTTGAAATGACTGTTTTAAAGTTTGTGTCTATTTAGTTTGTATCCAATTTGGTTTGCATCTTGCATCCAGATACAAACTAATATAATGGTAAGTGTTTTCCTATTAATTGAATGTTTCTATATGACTTTCAACATGGTGATTTAAACCAGTGGAAAAAGGATTTCTAGCAAGCAAGCACTTTAGGAAATGTTGATAAATCTTGTTTTCTAATATACAATTTTTTTCTTATGATAGTCAACTATTTTAAATGTATCTTATGCTCCCTATATTAATAAACAGTCTCAGTTGGAGAATATTATGTATGTGCAAACATCTTATAATAAACTATATATTTGTATTACTACTATAATTTTCTTTCTTTGGTGTTAATGGTTGGCTTGCTATTTAAAGCAATATGAGTTCAAACTAGAAGTGATGTCCTGCCTTAAGCTATTGATTTATATTGTGGTTTTTATATTCTAGTGAAATAACTTGATCTTCTTCTACAAAATATATTCTTCACTAACTCATTTGAGAAAAAGATAAACAAAACAAAACAAAACCCATCTTGTGAAGCAACTTTTTACTGTAGGGACAAATGGGAATAACAACTTGCCCAAATTATGTCTGGTATGTGTACAGACTTGAACCTAGAAGTTTTGACAGCTCATTGGAGTAGTCCATATAGGTCTTAAAACCAATGGCATTCAAAAGTGTAAAACTTAGTGTTAAGGGAGATCTCTACAGCAGAGGTTTCTGACACGCTCCTGGATCCATCTCTGTCTCTAGAAGCAACAGGGCATGCCTACTGTTCTATTGAAACTTTTCTTACCGTGTATTGTTCACAGTGTCACTTATTGTGGTGAATTTACCAGTGTAAGCATTTCACAAATACCATTTAAGCTGTGTTTTAAAACTGACATTTGAAAAGATATTTCTTAGTTTTAGTGTCTTAAAGTAGCCAATTGTATTCTCTACATTTAAAAACCCAAAGCTTTTTTACATTTTATCACATCCTATTCCCAGCCTTTACCACTCCTCATTAATTATTGTTGGCTTTTCCTCATGGGAACTTTATCCTCTTCATTTTCATAGTTTCTCTTCATGGGCTTCCTGACTTTAGGTTTAGAACCATACCCTCTATTTTGACTTCAGATAACACATTCTTTGTTACTTTGTAAAATGAAAACAAGTTTTTACAAGAATATTCCAATCTACAAAGACAATAACCAGGACTTTGCTAATATCTTATACTATTGTCTATTTCTTTTATATTGAAATAAACATCAAGGACAGTATAGGAAACCATCGAAGATCCAAAAAACTGCAATCCTAACATGGTAGGTGGTCAGATACGGGCTAAACAATCACTTAACAAAACCTAAACAGTCAAGATTATGGGGCAATCTGTTTTATTTCACACTTAATTAAACAGACTGGGGTGGCAGACTGCCAAGTAATATCTTCTTATTTCAAACTTGATTTACATTATGCAAAGCTGCCAGTCATATGGAGATATGTAGAGGCAGTATAACTGGATAAAGTAGAGCCAATCAGGAAAGCCACAGCATTGCCCTTCCAAGGGGAGTATCATTTAAAGGGTGTTAGTGGATAATTGGCCTTGAGTTTTGAGCCAGTGTCCGGTAAGGACCTCATTATTAATGGCATCTGTTTCCTGAATGTGTCTAATATGTTTCTATGAATATACGTAGCTGATGTTAATGCTACAATCATATAATTCAACGAATTCTAGTAACTTACAGTTCCCAGTACAGTTTCCCTTCTTGCAGCAGACTGACAAATGTTTACAATGTATATGCTGTATAAACTGCATCTTAAAAGAGATTGGCATTCACAAGCTAAGATAAATTAGGTCTGTGCCAACTTTGATGAAGAGCAGGTGTGGTAAGTATGTAACTAAAAACTGTCCAGTTCAATAGTAGAAACTCTCAGACACTGCATAGACCCCTGATGCTGTCGCCATTGTTAAAGGGGAAGAGGGTTTGAGAAGGTTCTGTGTCAGGCAACAGAAACAGAACCAACAAGAGTCAGGGCACATTTCAGTGAACAGCAAGTTAGCCTGTGTGCCTGGAAGTCAGAATATCAACACTTACTGGAGAGATAGTGGACAGTCCCAGAAGCGAGGGTGAGTTTCATTTGCTTACTAAGTTGTGAGGCTGGGCTATGAAAGCCGATCACTAAGTACTTTCTTATACCACCTGTGGTAAAGAAGCAAAGAATTGCAGGCAATTGCATTTACGTAGAGAAATTCACAATTAGTAAGCCTTGTGAGGGGTGTAGCTGTTGGATCACTCCATGGATAGATAGGTGAAACTTTTAAGAAAATACTCTTAAAACTCTTAAGAAAATACTCCAAAGCGTGCTACCAGCCAGGAAAAGGCATTACTACAAAAAGACACAGATGGCATCAGGGTCAGGCTCAGTTACTGTAACAGTTATCATTCTATGAAATCATGCTTTCCTACTAACTGACACAGTTCATTATCACTTGTGGAATTGAATGGGCACAAATCCTGACCCATGACAGAATCACTAATGGTGATGAACAAGACTTGCTTGAGGCCAATGTCTGACTTTTATATGTTAAGGTATCAACAGAATTCAAATGCAGCACTCTCATAGAGAAAATGCTCACTCCCTTCCCCAACGAACGGTTGCTTCCCCAAAAGACCAGAAACCTTTGGATAAAACAAACTAAGCTCCAGAGCATAATCCTGGAGAATGCTGTCCTCAGCCTTCTCTTCAGTGTGTGGGGGAGGGGATGCAGATGAGAGGGGAAGGAAATGATGCATTTGGCAGGTTCTAAAGCAAGATATGTCATCACTTTCAATGGTTTAGAAATTTGACAAATACAGCTATCAACACATAGGAAAGGGTTTATATCGAATATCGTTTCCTTTGGAAATTTCTGGTTTTCCAGCTAAGCCAAGACCCACTGCTAGGCTGTTTCGGTTCACTGTGATTTATTGCTGAGTACATGCATCACTTGTTTCTCCTGTTCTATGAGGAAAAAAAAAAAGAAGAAGTCGTTGATTTCAGCCCTATGACAGTGGCAGCATGTGCCATAGTGGATGATAAGCTCCAGCCACAGACGGTAAGCCTGAGTCTGCAGAGACTGATATAGGGAGCACAATGACAGGAATTCAACCTAGTGTGCAACCGAGTTTGTATTTCCCCAGAGATAGTTGGGTGGATGACGAGGAAATGCACTGACGTCCACAGTGATGTATTTATAACAGTTTGTACTCCGCCCCCTGTTCCGTTGTTGCATGGCCATTGTTCTAGCCATAAAAATCACATTAGGCAGTTTGGAGTTTATACAAGTGGTTTATTCCACACTTGCAAGAGTGAGAAATGGTTCTTTAAAGCAAGCATTGACTTGAGAAAACACAGGATGAAGAACACAGTTTTAGTGTGTTCTTAAAAAGCCCTAGCATAATTATCTTAGCTTTCCTGGATAATAGGGTAGATATTGTATTAAAGCTCACATTTGATCACAAGTCTGAGCACAACAAATGATGAGTCCATTATTATAAGGACTGCCTGTAAAATAATAATCAGGATGATTTCCTTGATTTATGTTGCATTCATCTAAGAACAATGAGATTGGTTTTTATGGGCTTTCATGTTGGGTGACCACCTCAAGCCATTGAAAGATAAATTCATTTTTAACATATGCAAATTCCTAAGCATTTCTTAACAAAATTAATTTGTTAAAACCAGTTTTCATAACCACGATTAGAAAGAAATAATCCTAATTAAGAATACTTGATTATTTTTGTCCTAAAGATAGCTAAGCCTTAAGCCTGGCCCCTGACCATGATTTGTAAACTGATTTAGAAGGATTATGTCTTCAGGGGTTAGCCACTCAACTGCTTCCCAAAATTCCTGATGTAATAGGCAAAATCTTCTAGACAGAAGAATTTCACCCACAGTTCCTTGTTTGCTTATTTTCATATTTATTATATTTTTATTTAAAACACTTTAAATTTAAACATATTTTGATCATATTCTTCTCCTCCCCCAAGTCCTTCCAGATCCTCTCCCCCTCCCAACCCACCAAACTTTAAGTTCCTTCCCCCAAACCAAAATTAATACCACCCCCCAAACAAAGCAAACAAACTAAAACCGTGACCGCCCCAAAAAAGCCAAACTGTAACTAAACACACAATACACACACACACACACACACACACACACACACACACACACACACACCCCTTAGAAGTGCATTGTATGTTGGTCAACTATCCCTGAACACGAGGCTTGCCCTG